GCGTATCTTATGTGGAGAGAAGGACAGAGTTTTGATCATTCATTTTAGTATGTGGAAGCAGCAAGAGGCATTGCTGATCCGAATATGGGTTTTGCTTGTCAGTTGTTACAGTGCCAAAAGAGGGTCCATGCTTTTCCTCTTAGCCCGAGTTCACTATTGAGGATGTACAGACTCTCTCTCTCTCTCTCTCTCTCTCTCTCTCTCTCTCTCTCTCTCTCTCTCTCTCATGATGTACGCATGCTTAGATTTTAATAGCATTCCCAACTTAAAAAGAATGATAAGTGAAAATGGTTGTAAGTTGTAACAATTTGATTCCATTGAGCACTCTCATCTAAATCAGGGAGAATATTTGATTAATCAGTTTTGTCTGGTTTAGGATGCGTGAATGGATTTGATCAATACAATTTATAATTAAATTGAGCTATTAAGATCCATGTTTAGTCAGTCCAAGATCTAAATCCCAATCATATGAATGAAATAAATCATATAACCCAGCTAGCTGTTTTGTTCTATACGGATTATCATTTGTGAAATAAGGAATTCTCATCTTCAAAAGCAGCCTTAACACAACCAATTAAGTACTTTTGAACATCAGAACATGCTATATATATAGTCTATAAATTGTTTGTTGGCTCAACAAATACAACTTATATATAAATGGAGTACTTACAAGGATATTAATTTTCCCGTTAAACTGTGATGAGACTTCGTTTATTAGCTCTTGTCGTTGGGCTCTTGATGACAGATCACAAACGGAACCAGTGACTTGATGAAAACCCTTGGTCTTCCATTGATTCAAGCAATCATTGAGCTGGTTTTGGTTCCGAGCACAAGTATGTACAGATGCACCGACAATTCCTCCACAATAGCATACCTAAATTAGAACAACATATGGAACTAGTAAATTGCCAAACATCAGTATATCATATATATCAATACATTTTATAATATAAAAAGGGATGAGCGAGAGAAAAATAAGTGTTCTCTTAGATTGTTGGACAACATTAGACACTTATGGTATGTCTCAGACAACCCTAAGCTATTTGTCCACGCTGCAGAGGAACTATAGTCCCACAAGATGTATATTGCTTCACCAGCAGCAACTATAAGGCGACCCTTGAGATGACAAAAAGAAATTGGAACTGTATCTTAGTTGATGGAAATGTTATATTGGTAATAAAGACACATTTATTCACTCATCTGTAAACTATATTCCCTACATATAGCTGATGTAAACTTGCTCATCTACACTGCTCCACAAGGATAAATGTGGACTTTATGAAGCACTGATTCTCTAAGGCATTTGTACTGTTTTGTTTTTTGTTTTTCTGTTGATTTTATGTTTTGGGCCTCCATTTCTTCGATTCTTTTCGGCATGATCAAATCTCAAACCAGTTGACAGGAGACCAACTTTTACAACGGTTCTCTGTTTTTTTTCCCCCATTTGGGCAGTTTTATGAGTTCTTAGGATTTAGTACCATTGATTCAGTTTGAATTGCTGTTGATGGTTTCTAAGGCTTGTCTAAGCTTATACATTGGTCTTTCTAAGGCTATTTAGACATATTATACGTCTGTCGTCCTTCTCTGTCATCTTTGCACACAGAGTTACAAGCAAGCAAATAAGTTGTTGATTTTCTCTTCACCCTTCTACACCTTGCAACTCAAACCCTTGTCATGTCACACAAATTCTTACTTCAATTTCTAAACACACCAAATGTAGTTTTGTTCCTGAAGTGGCAGTTTGCAAGCGTATAAAAGCTTTTTGATGCCTTGCATTACCGCTTCTCCTATTTTTCACACCAGATTAATTAATCCATACTCATGCAAACGTGTGACAAAATTACATGTTCTAGTGATCTATTATATTCTCTCTCTTTACCTATCAAATTTCTCTCCTCTTACTTGATCTATGAAGTTCATCATACATTCCAAAGAATAAACTCATCCATGTAATTATGGATCAGTCTTCTTGACGTCATCAATGGCAATCACCAAAAATAAGGTGAAACTCCTAGTCCATGTAAAAAAGCCACAAAATTCTGTTTGCTGAAGGGAGCATAGACCTGTTAGTTGACTTTTTCATTGTCTTTGGCCTCTAAACTAGTGAAGTCTGAAGATACAGTACAACTAATATGTTGAAAAAGTAATGCATATTTGTGTAGATGTAACTACACAATTCTAGAAAACTCAAGAACCTACAAACTAGATGATGGAATGTCGGCAACACAAAAATAAATATGCAAAGAATATTCTAGATGAAGCCACACTTGTGGCTGGGTAAAAGAGAGCAAATCAGTGGGACTAAAGCATGGCCGCAAGACACATATGGCTAAAGATAAATATCTATGGAGGAATTCTCTAGAGCAAGACTACATTAACTAGATATTATATTAGAGTAATATAGTTAAGTCTAGAAAGTTGTATATGCTAGTGGCTGTAAATGAAGAAGCCAAGTCGGTGGAACTTGGGCTATGTCGGTTAGGAACAATTATAAAATAGGCATCAAGCCATCCAATGTAATGAATAAAGTGAGTAGGTTGGGAGTGAACCAATCAACTCCCAATCCATGTGGGAGCAAAGAAGCCAAACTCCAAACCATTAGGGAGCCAAGAGCTACCCAAAGCTAGCTATGTTAAGGGAGCCAATAAGCTCACCAATCTAAGTGTAGGGCCAAATAGCCCAAACTAATCTAAGTCATGTGTGATGGCCAATAAGCCAATATGCTAAGGAGGCCAATTAGCCTATACCAAGCTATGTACTATTCTCCTCCAAATCTAATAAAATCACTTTGTTTCCCCTACAAACGAACAAGTGGTATCAAAGTAACTCACATCACACCTCACACCTACTAAATTCCAACATAATATGAAAAAGCAAATACAAAACAAAACCAATTGTAAATCTGGCTGTTGGTTTAGTTGATGAATGCCAACTAGTGGAAATAAATACATATTTATTCACTCATCCGTAGATTATATTACCTATGTATAGGTAATGACAGATTTGTATATGTAGAGTTGCTTTGTGGTCGACTGATGATGCAGCGTCTCCAAGGTGACCCACCCTCCGCCTTCTTGATCCATTCAACATTCCCATTTTTGAATAATTTTGAATTCAGGATACTTCTTTTATGAAGCTTATAAAATAGGTCTTTGAAGGCTTAAGCACATGCTCCTTCTTCTCTGTCCTTAATTCCCCTCAATTGCTACCACCAACAGCGCTAGTGTGAGTTTGAAGCTTCTGATTGACACAAAAAAACTAGGCCCATTTTAATACAATGTTTAAGGCCATTTTACAAAACCCAATCCGTTGGCTATATTAAAAATTAGGTCAGATATCTTCTTCTTCCCAGCGTCGCCTTCTCCTTCCTCTCCGTCTTTCTTCTTAACAAGCTGCGGATCCTGCGCGCTTCAACCGCCCTTCGTCCACACCTCAACGGCAAAACGCCCGCCCAGACCCGCCTAGAGCCGCCTAGGGCCGCCTAGGCGGGCGCCCAGTGGCCGCCTAACTCCCTGGTGCCTACCCCTAATGATTAGGGTGAAATTGCGGCGTTGTCCTCCCACCTAGCGCCTAGGCCGATTTTTCGAACCTATTTCAGATTACAGTTTTTTCAGTGGAAATAAATACATATTTATTCACTCATCTGTAGATTATATTCCCTATAGGTAATGACAGATTTGTATATGTAGAGTTGCTTTGTGGTCGACTGATGATGCAGAGTCCAAGGTGACCCTCCACCTTCTTGATCCGTTCACCATTGCCATTTTTGAATAATTTTGAATTTAGGATACTTTTTTTGTGAAGGCCTGTCCTTAATATCCCCTCAATGGCCACCACCAACATCGCTAGCGTGAGTTTGAAGCTTCTGATTGACACAAAAAGCCACAAAGTTCTGTTTGCTGAAGCAAGCAAGGAAGTTGTTGATTTCCTTTTCAGTTTTCTGTCTTTGCATGTTGCAACTGTTACCAGAGTGCCGAAAGCCTTAGTGTCAACTCATACTTGCCACTCAATCTTAAGGACACCCTGCTCAAACCCAAAACAGCAATTTCTGCGGCCAATATCCTTCAATTGCATTGCCGACCAACAATGACTAGAATATTTCTAAATTGTTCTACATTCGTGTGAGGTGCAGTAACCGTATTTCTGAGAGCTATGGAATCCCTTGTCCACAGTGCAGATCCCCGGTGTCTTATGTTTCTCCATCTGCTCCTACTAGAGCAACCTCCAGCAATATTAAGGCAGGCTATGTCAAGGGTGGTGTTATTTACATGATAATGCATAATTTGGAAGTGAAGCCAATGACACTGAATCAAGTGTTGCAGTACTTCAAAAGTTCAATATGAAGGGGATTGATGCACTTCAAGTTAAGGAGGTTTCATGTCCTATATATTTCTCTAACTCTTATCAGTGGCTTGTTGATCTATTTAGAGAGCTAAATGTCTTACGTGTATATTTCTCTCTCTTGTAGGGTTTGAAGTTGGTGAAGGCATCATTGGAGTCAAATACCGCTCTTACCAATGTCTTCCTTTGAAAGAAACAGCACAAACTTTTTTCAACTTTGGTCCTCTAGCGACATTGAGCTTTTTGGGTTTCATTTTGGTTTCTGGATTGGGATTTCTATTCTATTACTTTGGATCATGTAAACTTTGGTCCATTGATTCTATCGGTTTCATTCATTATATCTCGAATCAAACGGTCATCCACCATTGCAACTATCATTCAGCTTTATCCTTGATCCAAAACAAATAAGGAGGCCAATTTTGTATTGAGGGAGGTTGAAGAAATCAAACTCATCTATATATACAGATTCAAAACATCTGAAGAAACTGATGAATTGTCGAAGCCTATCCTCCTGATTGACACAAAGGGCCATTTGAGTGCAGCCGTTTCTCTACGATTTCATTTTAACTTTAATTTCACAACATATCAAATGCAGCTATTGCGTATATTTTAGAATTGAACTCAAACAATTTGGCCCGGTTTGTGTAGATTTATATTAAATGAGTATAGCCAGGCGGCTAGACTCGGTGTTTTTTTAAATTGCTTTTGAAATTAATAGTGTAGAGGCGCCGTTATACTGTGTAAATATAATATATTAAAAGAGTATAGCCGCGCGGCTATACGCCCATGTTTATTTTTTCCTAAACTAATAGTATAGCCGCCCGGCTATACGCCGTTTAAAAACAAGCCGATAGGCTATACTCCGTGTTTCCTTTTTTTAATTTTTTTCCCTAAATTAATAGTATAGCCGGCTATACGTTTGAAATATATCATATTCAAACAGTACAGCCGACCGGCTATACTTGGTTCATTGATCACTACAACAGCCTTATTGATGAATTAGTCGAGAATGGGATCACACCCTATGTGACCTTATTGCACTTTGATCTACCACAAGGTTTGGAAGACAAGTACTTAGGCCCTTTGAACCGTTCTTTTGTGGATGATTTCAAGGCTTACACTGAAATCTGTTTTACAACATTCGGAGATAGGGTCAAAAATTGGATCACAATCAACGAGCAGTTGATCATTGCCAAATTTGGATATGACTATGGAATTGCTGCGCCAGGAAGGTGTTCTATTTCAGCAGGGTTTCCATGCATAGCGCTGGCAATTCAGCCACTGAACCTTACATTGTGAGCCATAACCTTCTCCTAGCCCATGCCACTGTTGTTGAGCTTCATAGAGAGAAGTTTCAAGAGAAACAAGGTGGAGAAAGTGGAATTAGTCTTGTAGGACAGTTTGTTGAGCCTTACTCAGAATCTTCAAAAGACAGAGCTTCTGCTACCGCAGCGATCCTTTAGCTTCAACACTAACCGAAAACAAAAACGGAGATCCTATTGGTCCTCAGGCTGAAGGAAACTCGATCCTCTACATTATTTATCCACAGGGTGTGAACAAACTGTTGGAGTTCATGAATAAAAATTATCGGAATCTGATAATCTACATTACTGAAAATGAAATTACTGAGCCAAAGGATAATAAACTTGGACTTGATGCTGCACTGAAGGATCCACATAGAATTGAAAATATAGAAAATTTGACATAAGTCCAATTATGAGGAGAGATTTTGGGTGCAATCCACTCAGACATTGTTGTTGATCCAAGTCCTTTGACTTTTGCTCCACATAAGATTACATGCCTATTTCAATTTATTGATATTTACTTCTTTTTATTTTTTATTTTTTGTTCCAGTTATGCACCTAAAACATAAATAAGGTAAATTATGAATTCCTAAAACTGGTAAGTTATTGATTTGTAGTATATTAATTATCATATTTGATTTGAATTTAATTACAAATCTATTTATTGAATTCTGAAATTTTCCCAAGGCATACCGACATCAAAATTTGTAATAAGAGTTCATAAAAACTTCATACCTTAACAATAGGTAAGGTACTTATGCATACACCTTGTATGCAGGTAATTAAACCCATAAATTACCTCTGGTCCAAGTAATTAAATCCATAAATTACCTCTAGTCTAGGTAGTTATACCCTCTAGCCCAGCTAATTGAATTCATATAATATCTTGGTATGGATATTTAAACTCAACTGAGATAAAAATCCATACAAAATTTCTTTGGAAAAAAAAAAAAAACACTATTACATGGAAGACATGTACGTATGTATATAAATATGAACCTCCAGAAAAAACTGCTTAAGAAAGCTCAAGAAAAAAACACTTACCTATAAGTTAGGTACATATATACCTGTATGTCAGGTACATAATTTAATGTGGGTGCTTGTCTGATCGATTGGTATAATATGTGAGTCTTTACTTTTTATTGATTAAATTGTATTTTATCTATATATTAGGAATATTATCAAGGAAAAACAAATTCAAAATTCAAATTTTGGAATTCAATTTCAAGGAAATAATGCATTAAATTTAGATTTTCAATGTATTTTCCTTATTTACCTTAAAGAATAAAATCGACACAACAAAAAAGTAATAAATGTCAAAGGACCTACATCTAAAACCAAAAACACGAGGACTAGACCCAATGACAGCTAATCGTTTTGGACCTAGATCTAAGAACCCCTTGAAAATAATATGAGGCATTTGTACTGGATGAACAGGGCATTGAAGAGTGGAGTGAACTTGAAAGGATATTTCCACTGGGCTCTGTTTGATGACTATGAATGGGGTGATGGCTATACCTTAAGATTCGGGCTCTACTACATCGATTACAAAAACAATCTCACGCGCATTCCCAAAGAGTCTGCTAAGTGGCTCCCTAAATTCGTCAAAGGGTGAGAGAAGAGAATAGAGATCAAGATCTAGATGCATGTTGATGAAGACCAAATTCCAATGTTGAGTTTCATTGGCACAATGCCCTGTACTATGATACACAATGTTGAGTTTCACTGCAATAAAGGCAACGTACGTTTGAGCGCTTCAATTCACAACTATAATTAGGCAAAACAAAAATAACATTGGCACACAATTATTATTAAGGAATATATAGCCGCATAGTTCCCCTGTCTTCCTCATCACTAGTTCAATATGGCAGCAACCTCCAACGTTTGTGTGAGCTTGAAGCTCCCAATAGACACTAAGAGCCACAAAATTTTGTTTGCTGAAGTGCGCAAAGAAGTTGTTGATTTTTTCTTCTCTTTGCTGTCTTTGCATGTTGGCACCGTCATTAGGCTCCTCTCTGAGGATGGCATGGTTGGTTGCTTATGCAAGCTCTACGTGAGCCTTGAAAATCTTAGCTACACATACTTGCAACCTAATCTCAACAAGAACACCCTGCTCAGGCCCAAGTCAGCTGTTGCTGGATCTAATATCTTCCATTTGTTGACCAACAAGAAATCGGATTCGGAAGCTACGAAATTTTACTACTGTGACTGAAAACAGCAGCACGCGGAATGTGTCGGATGACGTTACAGCCCTTTGTCCAAAGTGCGGAAGAACAATGTCCAAGCAGATGACTTATGTTGCTCCACCAGCAGCAACGTCTACACGAGATACAATTTTGTCAAGCGAGGGAGGGTATGTGTAAGGTGTTGTTACGTATATGATCCTGGATGATTTGGAAGTGCAGCCTATGTCTACCATTTCAAGCATTGCCATGCTTTACAAGTTCAATGTGAAGGATGTTGGAGCCTCTGAAGAGAGGGTGGTTCAGCTTAGTCTGCAAGAGGTTTGATCATTTGATTATGCTTCTCTCATTTCATCTTATAATTTGCTCAAAGAAAGCACCAATGCTAAAATGCGTAATTCTAACTTTTTTTTGTGTTTCTTCATTAGGGTTTGAAATTGCTCAAGGCATCTTCAGAGTCAAAAACAGTCCTCACTGATGTGTTACTTGGGATGAAGTTGGCGGCATGAACATTTTGGAGCCACTCTGAACATCTTGTTTTTCTGAAGCGAGATGTGTTTTGTTATGCAATAATTATCATTTTGGAGCTTTTTTTGGTGCTTATATGCATAATGCATTTAATGACTTCATATCTACATGTTGAAGGTTTTTCTTCTGTCTTCATCTATTGTACCTTTTTATTTAACAATAGTCCAGTGAAGCTCGATGGTTTTTTGTTTGATGGTCAAAATAAACTATGGAAGAAGCCCAAAATGGAAGCTCAAAAAAAGAAAAAGAAAAAAAGAAAAAAATCTTAAACCAACACAAGGAGTTCGAAAAGGCAAAGCCTAGTTTCAAAGAAATGAATGACAAATAATAATTGTTTTTCCATGACTTTCATCATCAACGTCAACCACTAAGTCCAAAAAATAAATACCAGTAGTTTAATTTGCTAACCCTCCGCCTTCTTGGTCAATGTGAATCATGATCATCCTTCAGTTCCGATCAATAGGGGTTTAATCTCCATTGATCATGTGATTCTTCAGCTTCAATATGAATGAATTTGAAAAGCTATAAATTGTTAGGTCTTTCTAAGGCTTAGAAATATGCAGATGCCTATTTGTCTTCAATATTTGCATCAATGGCACCCTCCAAGAGCACTAGCGTGACACTGAAGCTTCTTGTCCACACAAAGGGTCGCAAGGTTCTATTTGCTGAAGCGACCAAGGAGGTTGTGGATTTTCTTTGCACCCTTCTCTCTTTGCCCGTCAGCACCGTGGTTAGGCTCCTCTCCAAGAACTGCTTGTTCACAGTGCACACATTATTGTCCTATCTCCACTCCAGTAAATTATGTTGCTCTGACGCAAGCACCTAGTAGCACTGTTGAAACGGGGACGTGGAGCGAGGGAGGGTATGTGAAGGGTGTTGTTGCATATATGATCATGGACAATTTGGAAGTGAAGCCTATATGTCTACCATTTCTGGTATAACTATGCTTAAGGGGTTAATGCTGGCATGGAGGAGGTCTGAATTCCTTTATATATATCATCTATATACTTCCCTATTTTAATTACTAATTTTCTATTAATAATTTCAGACAAAAAAGTTTCTTATTAACGCCAGTTAGTCAATGCAGTGTGTCCGTCCCTTTCTCAAATTTGATCTCATCCTATACATTAGAATTGTTTAGAATATCGTTTTGTGTCAAAGAAAAAAAACCAATTAATCGATTAGTTGACTCTGTTTTCAAATATTAGACTATATTGATGCTTCAGTTAAAGTATATTATAGGTTGTCACTAATTTTGTATATTTTTTGTCCTTTCGTTTTCTTAGGGTTTGAAGCCACTGAAGGCATCGTTGGAGTCCAACACCGTTCTCATCGATGTGTTCTTGCATAAAGGGAAGGCATAACAGTTTCTACTCTGTCCCTGCTGCATTGGAAATGGAATCAGAGTTCTGGATGCTAGCTTTTTTCTTTTTCTTTTTTGAACTAATTAAGATTCGTATTGCTTTAGCAAAATGTCGTTTTGGGAGATTTCTTTAATTTGGATTTCAATTAATGAACTGCATGCCTTTTAGGTTTCTCCTTTGTTCCTGCAACTACTTGATTAATTTGATTAATGAGCTAGCCCTAACTAGCTAGCTCATGCACGCCTTCTCCTTGAGGTTCGAGAAAAAGAAACTCTGCAACTTTTAATAAACGATTGAATAATTCAAATTAAATGAAAGGTCACGTACGTAATGATAAGTTGTAACGTTTAAAAGATAGGTCAACATTTGCATAGATAATGGCAAGTTATAATTAATATGGATTAACTTGAATCTCCATTTGTTGACCATCCAACCTCCACCTTCATCCCTTCACCGTAGGGTTTGGAAAATGCCATGCACGCATTCCCATTTTTTAATTTTGAGCAGATTTGTTGCATATTTTTATGACTAAATAGGGTTTTCTTTTCTGTACGCCTATAAATTACAAGTCTTCCTCCTAAGCCTCAAATGTTTGTGCTTCGTGAAATGACATTCGTATTTTATGATGTCAATTTGGAGGTTTCCTTATTTTGGATTTATGTAATGACTATTTCGGATTTCAATATTTTCTCATTCCCTTCTGAATGAAGAAATTGTTTTGCTTAATTTGATTAGTTAACCTTCACCCCCAAGGTTCGAGAATGAATATCATGCAACATCGCGTAAACTCATGTATAAAAATACGAAATGTCATGTTAGGTTATCTCATAAAGATAACTGAATAATCTATGCCAGAAAAGAAGAGGATTTCCCCCAAAATGACAATTAAAAAACGTATAACTTGGATAAGGTCCATCCAAATGACAATTAAAAAACGTTTCAGTTTCTCAAAGTAGTGGGTCTACAAATAAATAGGTCCATAATAATCTTGTTTACTTCTCCATATATATATATAGAGTTGTGCCGCGCATGTCCTCCATCCTACTCACTCTTCCTCAATGGCCCCCTCCAAATCCAAACCCAA